TTAAAAAGATCAAAGACAGGGGAGAAGGACCTACATGTATATAATATTTATAGCAGTACTTTTTTTTTGTTATAGCAAAAAATTGAGCGCCTATCAGTGTCTAAACAAATTATGATATATGAACATAATGAAATAAGTAAGAAATAAGCTCAATAAGAAATGATGAATATGAGTTCAAACTTGACAAGATTTATATGAACCTAATGAAGTGAGCAGAACCAAGAGAACAACGTCTGCAGTGACCATAAGTATTATAAAATGGAAAAAAGAAAACAACTTTGAAAGATTAAGAACTCTGATCAGTTGTCCAACCAGAGCTCCAAATGATGGATGGTGGAACATGCTTTGAACCACTTTAGGTGTAGAATAAGACCAACACCATATATTTTTAGACATGACTGATGTGTGAATTCATTTTGCTTGACTACAATTTTGTTGCAATGAAGAGATTTTATTTTTTGAGGGGATAGTTGGGGGACTGTACGGTGATGTCATAGATGTACATGGAAGAGGGCAGAAGTTCAGAAGGGGAAACAGGAAAGCAGGGCAGTGTTGGTAATACTGTGTTAAATTTAACATATACTTTTTAAAAAACAAGGTGCATAATAGAAATTAACAGCTTCATAAACAGCCTTCTTTATTTATATATATTCCTGTTTGATGTCTGTCAAGTCCATAGTTTAAAAAAAAAACAGTGGGACACAGGGAAAGATGCATTGCCCTACTCTGTGCGATCCCGTTGTGGTCAGGTTAATATAGTACTGATCTTACTGTCAGAAAATCTTTATTTGAGCCTTGAGTCCTACACTTATTAGCTGACTTTGGGCTAGTCAATTCTCCAGTATGTGATTTGAAACTATTTCACAAGGCTGTTGTGGAAAAAACTTTCGTCAAAGAGGTTTTTATTAATACAAAGTTTTTTATATCACCTACATTTCCCCTTGTATTCCTTCTGGAAAACAAATTATCTTTTATTTCAAGCAGGAAGAAAGAAAAAAATCAGCAACAGTAATAGATATTTTAAAATCTGACATAATATGTGGTGTCTTGTACCTGTGGGACCCTTACTTGCAGAAAGAAGTAGAGGAAGTATCTTCTCATTTCCCTTTTTGGGACCAACCTTGTCATTTACAATTTTGCAACATTTAGTTTCATTTTAAGTTTGTGGGGGTTCTTTTCATTTACTTTGTCAATGCATCTATGGTTTTCCAAGCTCTGCCTGCTTCCTTTCTTTGCATCGTTTCATTTGAGGCTTTCCACAGTTCTTTTATTCATCATGTTCATTATTTCTTATAGTTCAGCAATATTCATTGCATTCATATACTGTAATTTCTCTAGCCAGCCCCTAATCAATGGGCTTCTACTTTATTTGCAATTCATAGCTACCACAAAAAAAAAGAGCCACTTTAAATATTTTGGTATATGTAGACTTTTTGGGGGTGAGTATAAGTAACCTCCTTGTGTCTAGTGTAGTAGTGAGAGGTCATGGACATTTGAAATCACTTTATTTGCATAATTCTGCATTGCTAGTAACTTACATTGTAAACCTTAAGGGATAACACCTGTATATTGAGGTTATAAAAGAGCAAGCAATATATGTGAAGGCTCAGTTAAATTATAAATGATTTTCTGAATAACACTGATATTTGAAGTGTTTTTAGATATCAAAAGGGACTTTTTTTTGGATAACTATTGGAGAGCAATACATTAAGTAGATGTACATGTATTGGGGTATGGTTAAAAGAATTTGTGATACATAAATATAATATTATTGTGCCCCTTCCAAATATAAAGAGTTCAGGAAAATTGATGAGACAAGTTTTAACTGAGCATAGTATATGTAATGATTGTAATAACACATGAAAATGTTAAAAAGCAGCTGATCTCAGATTAAAGGCAATTGAGAACTGTTGGTTCCAGAGAATAGAAATTAAAGTTCTGTTAAATGTGGTCAGTGTATTCATTGGTTTTGCTTATCTGTTTTCTTTGAGACAAGAGAAGGTGCTATTGAAGGGAGACTTGCTATCAGAAAGTGACTGTAATGTAAAAAAAATACAAGGGATCAATAAAACTATTTTTTTTTAACAAAAGCAGAATCTATATAAATCGTTCAGACATCTTTACAGAATATGTAAACTATCCTTGGAGGGCTACTTTGTTTTGTTTATTTTTTGAGAGTCAAGCAAGTATTCAGGAATCAGTGATTTGAGATGTTTGGCTCTCCTGGGGATGAGTCTTTGAGAACAAGTGACGTTCCTCAGGGCTATATCTTACAAAAGGTAGTGAAAGTGTGAGCATTTGCGTGTGTCTGTATACACATACACGTGTGCAGTATTTGAGAATCGTCTCCATAAAGGTGATAATTGAAACCATGTGAATAGATGAGATCACTATGTAGAGAGAGCCAAGAGCAACCTTTGGGAGACACCCATGATTGAGGGGGATGAGGTATCAGCAAAGGCTGACTCTTTTAGACTTTTGTAGATAGGTTCATTTGTGTGAGTAGATTCTTTTCATATTCATTTAATTAATATCTTTGTGGTTGAGGTAAGGTTTAAAGTTAGATTTGTGGGAGCAGCTAGGTGGCGCAGCAGACAGAGCACTGGCAATGAAGTCAGAAGGACCTAAGTTCAAATTTGACCCTAGACACTTACTAGCTGTGTGACCCTGGGCAAGTCACTTACCTGATTGTCTTCCCAAATAATATAGTTAGATTTGTGATAGAAAGTTCTTTTGCTAAAGTGCCCTGTTGAAGGGGCAGCTAGGTGGCGCAGTGGATAGAGTGCAAGCCCTAGATTCAGGACCCGAGTTCAAATCCAACCTCAGACACATAACACTTGGTAGCTGTGTGACCCTGGGCAAGTCACTTAACCCCATTGCCTAGCCAGAAAAAAAAAATAATAAAGTGCCCTCTTGAATAGCACTCAGGGGGTATGGAAGATTACTAAGTCTCCATTGGCCATATTCTTTAAGTGTGTCTTTTTATTGAAGAGGTACCCTGAAAGTAGAACTTTGGGCTGGTTGCAGGGCTGTTGGACCTACCTTACTTAAAATCAGCAGCACTTGGTGTAGCACAGTACATCCTGTTAATTATCATGCCAGAAATGCGTTGAGCTGCTTGGCTTAGCTATCTAGGTAAGAAAAGAAAAAGAACCAAGAGATAAAGAACTGGTATTTTTATAAGTTTATTTATAGCAAGTTTATTTAAATTTAATTCTCTAAAAATTCAGAAGGAAAAAGAAAACTGTATAAATCTTTATAATTCATTTGAATTGAGAATTAGAAATTTGATATCGTATACTACATTACCAATCACCTTTGTAATCTCTCTCAAGCCCCTTTCTCCTTCTAACACTGCCCCCAGTCTAGTGCAGGCCCTTAACCACCTCACACCTGAATAATTGCAATAGCCTCCTCTTGGGTCTTCCTTCCCCAAGTCTCCCCACTTCAATCCATTCTCATTCATCCACTGAAGTGATTTTCCTAAAGCACAGTCTGACAGTGTCACTCCTCTCCCGTCTGCCCCCTACTCTAGTAGCTCCTTTGCCCCTAGGATCAAATACACAATGTTCTTTTAGAAAGCACTTAATAAGTATTTATTGAGTGATTGCTTGGCATTCAAAGCCCTTCATAACCTAAAAATAATAACAATAATAGCTAATCATTTATAGTGCTAGGCGCTTGCTAAGTGCTTTTTACACTTAAGCATCTCATTTGATCCTCACAACAACCCTGAGAGATAGGTGCAGTTATTATCTCCACTTTACAGATGAGGAAACTTGAGCCATACAGGGGCTAAATGACTTACCCAGGGTCACACAGCTAGTATCAGAAGCAGGATTTGAACTCAGTTCTTCCTGAATCCAGACCAAGTTCTCTATCTACTAGGCTGCCTAGCTGATACAAACCAGTTTCCTCCTACTTTTCTAGTCTTCTTACATCTTATTCCTAGCCACAGACTCTTCAGTCCAGTGATTCTCTGGCTTCTTGGCTGTTTCATAAACCAGACACTCCATCAGTTTTTCTGGCTGTCTCCCATATCTGGTACACTCTCCCTAGATTCCTTTAAGTCCCAACTAAAATCCCAGCTTCTACATGAATCCTCCAACTCTTCTTAATTCTAGTGCATTCCCTCTCTATTATTTCCTATTTATCCTGTATGTAACTTTCTCTGTGTGTGTGTGTGTGTGTGTGTGTGTGTGTGTGTGTGTGTTTTGTTTGTGTGTTGTTGTTTCCTACCACCACCACCACTCCCCATTAGATTGTAAGCTCCTTAAGGGCAGTGACTGCTTTTGCTCTTTTTGTATTCTCAGCCCTTAGTACACTGTTTGACACATAGTTGTTCACCCTTTTTTGAAGAGGACCAGTGATATCATAGGACAATGTCTAGACTGGCATGTGCACTAGATTTAAGTGAGACAGAGTCTTCAAAGTCCAGTGGCAAGACAAAAGTTAGGACAACTGGTGAAGGCCCAGGAAGCAGTGGATGACTTTGGCATCTTCCATGTCTGACCACACTCTAAGCATTCCACAGCCCCTGCTTCAGCAGCTTTCACAGCCATTGGAACAAATTGTTTTCATCAACCCATTCTGCCCGGGGAAATCTTCACGTGCTTGGGATAGACATCCTCTAACTCACTGACAGGTTTGAGGCTCCTCAGTTACCCTCAACCTGGTTTAGCCCATATGCCAAGTTGATTTATGGGGGTGTGACTAGCATGTTACAGCTTCTTGGAGCTTGAGAGTCGGTGAATTTGATGGGCACCAAAGGTGGATGAGCAGCCTTGAAAAGGGCTCAGCAGACTCTCACGCCAGAGGTGCTAGTCTTCCCTGAATACCCCCTGGCACATAGTAGGAGCTTAATAAATGTTTAATGATTGGTTCCTGACTAGTCGTGTTTAGCTGATTTTCTTCTGTAAGAAATTATTTCACAGTACTGTGGCTGTGGTTCAGATGAAGCTAATTCCTTTTCTCTCTCTTTTCTCTTTTGGATATTATAGATGACCATGGATGAGAAATATGTAAACAGCATTTGGGATCTTCTGAAAAATGCAATCCAAGAGATCCAGCGTAAGAATAACAGTGGTCTTAGTTTTGAAGAGCTGTATAGAAATGCATATACGATGGTTTTGCATAAACATGGAGAAAAGCTCTACACTGGACTAAGGGAAGTTGTTACTGAGCACCTCATAAATAAGGTATCTATAACTTTGCAAGACTTGATATTTAACAGAGACGTGTATCATCTTATGTTTCCCTCCTCTAGGAATTTGTTTTCAAAGTATACTGACAACATATGGAAAGTTTTTCTTTAATGTGAAACCTCATTAATTCAGTACCTACTTATTTGGAATTAGCGATCTTTTTGATGGGAGTTGTGATGGTGCTGTTTTTATTATCTGAGAAGGAGGCTTTTGCTAGGCAGTTTAATAGTTTAAATAATACTGGAGGGGATTATGCCTACTTTAGAGAACAAAATTTTCAAGTACCTTAGAAGTGATTGTTTACTAAACAAAGGATGTGTCTTCTGGCAGGCTGTTTGGCACCCTGTCCCCTGGATATATGACCCCATATGAGGTCAGGTCCTGCAGTTTAAGAAGTGTTGAAGGGGTTGAGAGTGGGAAAAGTTTGAAAAGTCTTATCCTAAAGCACTGAGAGGTTAAATGGCTTACTTTGCTTTGGCCATACAGTTTCAGACTTCCTGGCTTCGAGACTGGCTCTTTAAATTATCTGGTCTTTTAATTTCAAGTCAAGCCTTGTGTCTACATTGCCGCATAAGCATACTAAAAGTTAATTAATAATTCCAGGCAGTACGTAGGTACTAAATGGGCAGGCAGCACAAATGATCATTGCTGTAGTAATCCATAGGAGGAGAGAAATTCACAGGATGTATACCATCTCAATTGTTGTTAAGTTGTTTAGTGTCCAACTCTTTGTGACTCCATTTGGGGTTTTCTTGGCAAAGATAGTGGAGTAGGTTGTCATTGCCTTCTCTAGCTCATTTTACAGATGAGGAAACTGAGGCAAACACGATAAAGTGACTTGCCCAGGGTCACACCACTAGTAAGTGTCTGAGGCCAGATTTAAACTCAGGAAGAGAAGTCTTCACTAACTTCAGGCCCACCAGGCACTCTATCCACTAAGCCATCTGTTGCCAGTGTCTCCCTACTCCATATCTTTTCATTGTCTGTCTCTCATGCCTAGTATGGTCTCCTTCCTCAACTCCACTTCTTAGTTTTATTACCATTCTATTAATCTTTTTATTTAATCTTCTGGCTTTTATTACGGTTTTCTCATAGGAACAACCCTGGGCTGAGTCACTTTCTTGCTACTATTCATAAGTGGCATAGTAGTTTAAATTCCTGACTCTTCAGGAAGATCAAGAGTTAAAATCCTTCCTCTGGCACTTATAGCTATGTCACCAATGGCAAATCTTCTCTCAGCCTCAATTTCTTCCTTTTTTTTTATTTGTGAGGCAGTCAACGTTAAGTGACTTGCCCAAGGTCACACGGCTAGTGAGTGTCAGGTGTCTGAGGCTGAATTTGAACTCAGGTCCTCCTGAGTCCAAGGCCAGAGCTTTATCCACTGCACCATCTAGCTGCCCCTGAGCCTCATTTTCTTTATCTGTTAAATAGGGATAATAAAACCTGCCTTACAGAATTTTTTTGAGGATCAAATGAAATAAAGCTCTTTGAAAATTTTAAAGCATTATATAAATGTTATCTATTAATTTGTGTTGTCATTTTTCAGTCATGTCTAACTCTCCGTGACCTCATTTGGAGTTTTATTGGCAGATATACTGGAGTGGTTTACCATTTCTTTTTCCAGATCATTTTGCAGATCAGGAAACTGAGGCAGACAGGGTTAAGTGACTTGCCCAGGGTCACACAGCTAGTATGTGTCTAAGGCCAGATTTGAACCTAGGAAGACGAGTCTTCTTGACTCTAGGCGCCACGTCATTTCCCTTAAGCATTAATATGTGTTAATATATATTACACAGATGGAGCAATAGCTGCTTTTATAGTTGCATAAAAACATTATATTGTAAGCTTATCCTCCATGTGCTTACTGAAAACATCCTTGGTATAACTTTAGTAGCAGATAGGACAACAGGGATGATATTCATTAAATCCTATACCCATGTGATTCTTTTCCTGGGTCTATATTTTGAAAGCTTTTTGTACCATATATCTTGGAAGTAGAATATTATAGCAACATCTGTTTTAGTAGTTATTAAAACATTTATGGATGAATGTTGTTATGTTTCTGTGATCGTGAGTTCATTTGGTCTTTGAGGATCTGGTTTCGCTGTGGTTTAATGGTTGAGTTTGGCAGGTTATTTTGAGGTCTGTGTATTTAGTTTGGAAATTTGTTGTGTGTTAGTCATTGAAAGATAATTAATTTCTGATGCATAATCCTAGTAATCACATCATATTTTGCTAGATACTTAGCAGGTGCTAAATTTTCCTGAGAGGCACCCTTGAAGCCAAGAACACTACAGTTCAAGTTTTGTCCCCTGATACATACTAGCTGTGTTATCCTGGGCAAGTCACTTACCCATAACCCAGGCCTACACAACTTGGAGCATATGTGCAGCCTCGGGTGGCTTGCAAAACATCCATTGTATGTAGAGGAAATTCATTGGCTCCTGGGGCTGCAAGTTGTGCTGACCTGTCTTAACCTGTCTACTTGAACAACTCTGTGAGGCTGTACTTTACAGAAAAATGGCCAACATACATTGGTAGTACTCGTTTACTCACTTTCGAGTGCCCTTATCAATGAATTCATACCTCAAATCCCTGTCTGTATTGTAAATTGTTATAGCCTGCAATGATGTTATGCAGTTTTTATCTTTTTTTTTTTTTTGCATTATGTTGGGGATAGTGAGAGATAGATTTCAGAGATCGAGGTTGGGGTTAGGTTATGGAAACAGTGAATACCAATCTAAGGAGTATGAATTTCATCCTATTGCAAATTTGTATTTTTAAAATGAGGAGTTCAAAGATCCACATTACTGATATAAAGACTCACAATTAGAAACTGCTAAGGAAAACCAGAAAGCAGTCTGGCAGAAATTAGATATTAACCAACATCTTATGCTGTGTACCCAGCAAAGTTATCAAGGAAGAAAAGACCCTTCACAACTGTGGATGGGGGAAGAGTTCATGACTCAGTAAAGGATAGAGAGGATCACGGAAGACAAAACAAATAATCTCGATTATGTAAAATTTAAAAAAAAAAACCTTTTGCACAAGAGAAACCAATGAAGCTAAAAATTAGAAAGGAAATAGGTGATTAGGGGGCAAATCTTTTCACCAAGTTTCTCGGATAAAATTCTTATATCTAGGTGATATGAGGAATTTATTCAAATTTATAAGAATAACAAAAACATTCTTTAATAAGTTGTCAAAGGACATGATCAGGCAACTAGTTCTCAGGGAAGAAATCCAGGCTATCATTGAGCATATGAAAAAATTCTCCAAATCACTAATAATTAAAGGAATGCAAATTAAAACATTAAATTAAAGCATGAATTGGATTTATATTTAAAAAAATAGAATACTACAGGAAAACAGTTATACTGAATGTAACGAGTTAGAAAGCGTTTTGAATTATGGTCAAAATGACACTAAACTGTGCATACGTTTTGACACACTGATACTACTTACTACTGCATATACCCCAGAGAGATCAAAGGAGAAAAAAGGATCCATTGGCACAATAATTTGTAGTAGATATTTTTGTTGTAGCGAAGAACTAGAAACAAAGGTGATGCCTATCAATTGGGGAATGGCTAAACAAATTAATGGTATGTGAATTTATTGGAATATTACTGTGCCATAAGAAATGTTGAAAGAATGGTTTCAGAGAAACCTGGGAAGACTTATTTGAACAGAACTAGAACAGTGCATACACTGACAATATTTCATTTATTTATTTTTGAATATTTTATTCTTTTCTTCAATTACATGTAAAAACGGTTTTTTAACATTTGATTTTTTAGATTTTGAGTTCACAATTTTCTTCCCCTTTCACTTTCCTCCCCACTCTCTGAGACAGTAAGCAATTTTACATAGGTTATACATGTAGCAACAACATTTTAAAGAGAACTTTAAAAGATTAAGAACTCTGATCAGTTCAATAATTAATTGACTGTTGACTATTGGTGAAGCAAGCAACCCATGGCCTAACAGCAGGATTATGTGACTCAAAGGTGCAGAATAAGAAAAACATCATCAGACATAGCCAATATGGAAATTTGTTTTGCTTGACAATACATGTTTGTTAAAGTTTTTTCTTTTTTTTTTTTTAAATGGGGGTTGGGAAAGCCAGGGACAGAGTAAGCACATTCCTTCCCAAAAGAAAGTCCTTGAGGCATTTGTTTATAAATGCATAGAAGAAAACAGAAGGCCAGAAAGAATCAGAGACAAACAGAGCAGCTTTGAAGGCTGCATGTTGAATTTTATATATTTAATAAGAAAAGTAAGCTATACACAATTGAGATTACCAGTTTCGTGTACATTCCTCTTTTCTGTACTATTATGTATATGGAAATGTTCCCCTCTTATTTGATGTTGAAGGTCAGATTTTCTTTTTAAGGGGGCAGTTGCAGGCAGTTGGAGGTTTATTTTTTTTCTTTAACAAAAGGTAATGATGGCCCCCCCCCCCACAATTAGTATTTTAGAAATACACTGCTGCTAGTTAAATATAGCATTGGTTTGAATAGGTAGAAACTGGAGATTGAGAGAGCAGATATGGAACTCTTACAGTACTTTTACTTTAATACTTAAAAGGCGATTTTTAAAGGTGAGGGACCTTGGAGATGATCATCTACTATAAAATGCTTTCCCCCACCTCCAAATGAAGAAATTGCTGTGTTTTACATGATCATGAACAAATGAAACTGTTAGCAGGTAATTGGAGGTTTGGGAACAGAAATGGAGAGAGGTCTTACATTTAGCATCCCTTTGCAAGAAGTGATCATTGAAGAGTGGATGATTTTTCTGAGAGTGAAGAGTGTAGGACAAAGTACTAAATCATGGTTAGAATCCATACTTAGGGATGACTGGAAAAGTTATTCTCCAGTAAGAATTTTGACTGTGAAAAAGGATTGTGTAAGTAGGTGGGACAGCAAATTCAAGCAAAGACCTTTTCAAGCATAATGAGCCCTATCTTTTATTTTGTTTTCTAATAGTTT